TCGTTTTACCCATTGTCAAATAATTTGCGGAGTTCAAATTTACCATTTCAAGAGTTATAACCCATAATATTTTTCCATAATTTCAAGAGTTATAACCCATAATTTACCATTTCAAGAGTTATAACCATAATTTTTTTTCCCATTTTAGTAATTTCTAACTAATGAAAAAAATTAGAGTCCGAACTTCACTATTTGATGAGCCTTATTCTAATATTTTTTGTCATTTTTAGTCGTTTCTACCTATTGCCAAATAATTTCACAAAGTCAAAAGCTAACGATTTCATTAGAAAATAAATTCACAAAGTTCAGAATTCACTGTCATTAGCTATTGCCTGTGATTTTTGTCCTTATTCATTTCGACTCAAGGGAAAAGTTTTCATCAAGACAAATTCACCATTCCATCAGGTATAACTCATGATTTTTTGCCATTTTATTAGTTTTAACCTATTAGCAAATAATATTGCGTAGTTCAAAATTTATTTTGTGAGCTTGAACTCAGGATTTGTGGCTATTTTTAGTCGTTTCGATCCATTGATAAATAATTTCGCATAGTCTAAAATTCACGATTTTGTGAGTTATAACCCGATTTTTGATTATTTTTAGTCATTTTGATCCATTGGTTAATAATTTTGTAGTCAAAAATTCATAATTTTACGAGCTATCATTTTTGATCCATTGGTAGATAATTTTGTAGAGTCCGAAATTCACAATTTTATGAGCTATCATTTTTGGTCATTTTTACTCATTTCGACCAATTAACAAATAATTTATTGGAGTCTAAAATTCACAATTTCATGAGCTATAACTCGTGATTTTTAATCATTTTTGTCTTTTCGACCGATTGACACGGTTTTTTGGAGCTTAAAATTCATCATTTCATGAGCTATAACTCATAATTTGTGGTCATCTTTATTTATTTGAAATCACTGGCAAATAATTTGTAGATTTTAAAATTCACGATATTACAAGTTATAACCTACGATTTTTGGCCTATTTTAGTCTTAGGACCCAATGACCAATAGTTTTACAGAAGCTAAAATTCATGATTTTATGAGCTATAACCCATGATTTTAGGTGATTGTTATGACCTAATGACAAATAATTTCGCGAGGACTAAAATTCATGATTTTATGAGTCATTCTAAGATTTTTAGCCCTTTTGTTAGTCATTCAGACTTATTGGCAAATAACTTTTTTAAGCCCAAAATTCATCATTTCATGAGCTAACTCACGAATGGTCCATTTTTATTTGGTTCGACTCGTTAGTAAGTAATTTCACGGAGTCTAAAATTCATGATTTTATGAGACAATAACCCATAATTTTTTATCGTGTTTAGTCGTTACAATCCACTGTCATTTTGTTAAGGCAAAAATTCACAATTTCATGAGTTATCACCCACGATTTTTGGCCATTTTTTGTCACTTCTATCCATTGGCAAGTAATTTTGCAGAGTCAAAAATTCACGATTTTATGAGCTATAACCCAATTTTTTAGGACATTTTTATTGTTTCTACCGATTGGCAAATAATTTTGTGATGTCCAAAATTCACCATTTTCTGAGCTATAGCCAATGATTTTTGGTCATTTTTAGTCTTTTCGACTCATTAGCAAATAGTTTCATGTAGTCCAAAATTAATGATATCACGGGTTATATTCCATGATTTTTGGCTATTTTTATTCGTTTTGCCTCATTCACAAATAATTTCAGAGTGAAAAAACTCTCAATTCGATGAGCCATATTCTAAGGTTTTTGGCCATTTTTATTTGCTTTTACCCATTGAAAAATACTTTCATAGAGTCAAAAACTCACAATTTCATGAACTATAACCCATTATTTCTGGTAATTTTTATTTCATCATATTGGTAATTAATTTCAATCTAAAATTCACTATTTCATAAGCTATTACACATGATTTTTTTTTCTATTTTCATTCGTTTCAACCCAAGGAAAAAAATTTCACATTGGTAAAAATTCATCATTCTATGAGCTATAACCCATGATCTTTCGCCATATAATTTATTTTGATCTGTTTGCAAATAAATTTTTAGAATCCAAAATTCACGATTTTGTGAGCTATAACTCACAATATTTAGCCACATTTAGTCGTTTCGATCCATTGGTAAATAATTTCGTGCAGTCCAATATACACAATTTTATGAGCTACAACGCGCGAGAATGGATTCCTCGTCAAGTCAGGGGGTGCATGATTTTAGCCATTTTGATCGTTTTGTCAATAAATAATTTCGTGGAGTTCAGAACTTATGATTTCATGAGTTATAACCCATGATATTTGACCATTTTTAGCTGTTTGGCCCAATAAAAAATAATTTCGCAGGGACCAAAATTCACGATTATATGAGCTCCATGATTTTTGGCCATTTTTATTCGTTACGACCCAACGACACAATTTCGTGGAGGCCAAAATTATTAGTTTCATGAGCTATATTCCATAATTTTTTACCATTTTTATTCATTTTGCCCATTGAGAAATAATTTCGTGGAGTTCAAAATTCACGATTTCAAGAGCTATAACCCACAATTTTTGGTCATTTTAGTCATTTCTATCCATTGAAAAATAATTTAGCGGAGCCCAAAATTCAATATTTGATTAGGTCATGTACCACGATTTTTAGCCATTTCTAGTGGTTTCTACCCATTGGCAAATAATTTCATGAAGTAGAAAATTCACGATTTCATTAACTATAACCCATGATTTTTGGTAATTTTTATTCATTTTATCCTATTGGCAAATAATTTCACGGAGTTCAATATTCCCAGTTTCGTGAACTATTTTGTCCATGATTTTTTACCATTTTCAATCATTTTGACTTATTGGCAAATAATTTATTAAAAATAAAAATTCACGATTTCATGAGATATAACCCATGATTTTTACCATTTTTAGTTGTTCCGAGTTATTAACAGATAATTTATTAAAATCTAAAATTTACGATTTCATGAGCTATAATCCATGATCTTTTTAACTATTTTTAGTTATTCCGACCCATTGACAAATACTTTTTCGGAGCCCAAAATTTTCTCATTTTGTGAGTTATAACTCATGATTTTTGGCCATTTTGATTTGTTTCGACTTATTAGCAAATAAATTTTGCAAAGACTAAAATTTATGATTTCATGAGCTATAACCTATGATTTTTTACCATTGTCAATCTTTATAACCCGAAATGAAATATACAAAAATCTTTGATTATAATCTATGAATATAGTGAATTTTGAAGTAATTGTACTTTCGTTTTTATTAGATTGAAAGGATAAAAATGGACAAAATTCACATGTTATAGCCCAAGAAAATTAAAATTTGTGAACTGTGTGTGTTTAGTCAAACTAGATGAAAATGAACGAAAATATTTGGTTATTGCCTATAAAAATAAAATTTTGGAACAATATGTTTCTTATTTGTCATTAGGTTGAAGTGAGCTATAAACGATTAAAAATTATGGGCAATAGCCCATAAAGTCACAAATTTTGATGCACGTATACTTGAATCTCATTAGGTCAAATCAATCGAAAATGATAAATAATCATGGTTATAGCCCATTAAAATCGATAACTTTGAATTACACATACTTTATCGCTATTGGGCTGAAATAGAAATAACAGACAAAATCATGGATTATAGTGCATAAAATCTTGAATTTTGAAGTATACTTAATTGTCATTGGGTAAAAGACAAAAAAATCATAGGCTACACCCTACAAAAATCGTAATTTTTTAAATAAGCATACTTAATTGTCATTGGGCCGAAATAGAGAAAATGGACAAACTTGTGGATTCTAGCCTATGAAAACTGAGAATTTTGAAATATGCATCATTTATTTCTATTTGATCAAAACAGACAACGAACAAAAAACATGGGTTATAGCTTATGAAATCATGAATTTTGAACTACGTGTACTTAATTGTAAATTTTGTATTACGTATCATTGAGTCCAAACAGATGAAAATGAACAAAATCATGGATTATATAGCTGAACAAAATCATGGATTATATAGCTCATGAAGATCACGAGTTTTGAAGTAAACATACTTAGAATGAAAAGGCACAAAAATCGTGGGTTATAGGCCATGAAAATCACGCATTTTGAAGTTAACATACTTAGAATGAAATGAATAATAATCGTGGGCTATAGACCATAAAAATCACGAGTTTGAAGTAAACATACTTGGTAAAAATTATGGTTTATAGACAAATCTTTTGCATATGATCTTCATTTTACTGGGAGAACATATTTTGTTTCTTCAAGCGAAAGATTATGAAGTGCAGATATCCGGAGGACGGTACTATTGGTAATATCTAAGGTAGCATCTTATAGTTTAAATTTGTATATGTAGTTTATTAATTTGTAATCCTAATCTGTGTAAGTATTTGAATAACCATCTTTATATTCATAAATTTAACAGTAAAAGTGAATAATTAGCAGTGTCTTCCATGACTTCTCTGTTTGATGATGAAAATATCAGATGGGTAGAGAGTCCAGGATGAGTTCTAGGTTTTTGCTTAAACTGGTCCAATTCTCTCGTCCCTGGACGTAAAGTAGTTTGCGTTTTAAAATACTGCACATTAGACATCAGTATTTTGTGAAAGCTAATGTCAGTTCAGATTGCTTGCACATTCAAGTCAGTGTACTCCAGTCATATATGAATGAACGTGAACAAGAAATTTAAGGTGAGAGCTGCTATATTGAATGAAAAATGAGACCAGGATATTAACTTGTCTTGGTTTGCGAAGGGATTTCATTTATAAAAGAGAGGGATTTACTAATCCATCTCTTTTCAACATGTTGGTATTTTGACCCCCTTTTTGTGTCTTGATCGGGTCTTCTGTTGAACTTGGAAACACCATTGTCAATCATTTTGTTTATTGCTATCAATCCCCTTCATCTCGCTGTCTTGTGACTCTAGATGTTTTCATTGCACAAAAGAAAGGTGAAAGTATGCCCTGTGGATTCAATGTTTAATACTCTTGAAACTATTTCAGGAACGAACACTTGGGACCGGTTTGAGCTTCGAGTACACAAGAGGGTGATTGATCTTACTAGCTCACCTGAAGTTGTGAAGCAGATTACTTCCATCACCATCGAGCCTGGTGTTGAGGTCGAGGTCACAATTGCGGAGCCATGAGGCCTCTATCATGCAGGGTTTTGACCCTGGACTTGTTATTGCATTGTTGAGGAGCTGTAATCAGATAGTTGGGAGTCTAGTATGCTTGTAATCTCTGCTCCTTTATTTAACCTTTTGAGTGCAGAAACTGAAGTCCTTCCTTTGAATCGTTTCCCCTTATGATAAGTTTACTTGGAACTGCGATTATTACATAATGCAAGACACGGTAATTATTTTGTTTTGAGATTTTCTGTTTGTGTTGCTGAGCAAAAGTTCATGTAAATGATCAAAACAGTGCAGGTTCTGAGAATTTTAGTTATTAATTGTGTGCCATTATTATTGAAATTTACTCAGGCACCACGGATTACTATACGTGGAGGGAATCATGACAGAATGTCCTTCACAACCAATTATTGGGAAAACTATTAAGATGCAAGCTCTGTACATTTGTGAACTCTGGGAAATAAAAGTATGAGGAAGTGCACAGCCTCCTAAAATAAAAGGGGTAACATCACATTAACTAAATCTATACCTACAGCCCAAAACTCTATACTCAATGCTTCAACAGATGAATGAATGAATTAGACTACCCCATGAAAATACCAGCTTATATCGACAAGTACTTGGACCAGAAGCAAGGCATCTCAAATTCAGAACAAACTTTCCTCACAAATCCAGCTGCATAAGTGAAAGAAGAAGCATGAAAAATTTCATCAGTCAAGGATTTAATAGCCTGGATTTTTATATGGTCATTCTGAGCACTGCAACTCAATATCAAGGCATAATCCCCCCTTAAAAGGTGGTACATAAATGAAGCAGTTGAAGATTCAACAAGAGCAAAATAACACCAGATACATAAAATGGCATCAGCCCGCATTATGTCAACAGCTTACTAAGAATGCAACCCTGAGTAAGAGACATCTGATTTGATTTGAAACCGTAACTTGCATTTTAAGCGTGCAACTCAAATTTGGGAATGTCAAATGTAAGAGTACGGTATAATTGACCCCTAAGAAGATTGAGAAATTATACAAGGCAACCTAGCAGTTAACATGACAATAGAACAAAGGTATAGAAGTTGCAATATTTGATTATTTTCTGTTCCCAGGGCAATGAAATTATGCAACATAGCTAGTAGCTTAAGTAATATATATGCAACACAAACAAAAGCTTATATTATAGCTTACAAGTTTCTTCTCCATTTATCAACACAACTAGCATATACACTGTTATTTTGGCCGCTTAAATTAAATTAATAACGAACTTCGGTAAAAACCAAGTAATACCATGAGTACTGAAATGAGTATTCATTCTGCTTTTTTTTTTTCTAAAATTTGTGTTAAACGGATGCCTGTAAGCCAGAAATGTCAGTATAAAAAGAGTACTCGACAGAGTCAGGTTTTTTGTGAGAAACAAAGAAACAAATTATAACCTACAGGAGTTAAAATTCCAATGGCGCAAAAAGGGTGATCTGGGGGTAATATTTCATCAGCCTACAGTTTTTGTTCCCGGACAGATCGTACTCCTAAAAAATTTCCAGCCAGCATGTTTCAGATTAAACAGTGTTAAATTTTTAGATATTATTAACTTAGTACAAAGAAGATACTGTCTGTAACTTCGTATATAAAGAACTGAGAAAAAAAAATTTCCACAAATGAACAGCACATCGAAATGATAAGTCAGCTATCCTATGTCGATTTTATGAAGTCACATACCCTGAGATGCAGTACAAAGAATGTGTGAACGTGTGCTCCAGCTTTTGGCTAAAAGCCAGCGGGTAAAAAAAAAAGTGTGTGGAGATAAGGTTTGGAGTCGGTAAAAGCCAGCGGGTAAAAACAGTGTGTGGAGATAAGGATTGGAGTCCTTGGCCAATCCCGAGTCTAGCTGGCCAATCCCGAGTCCAGCGGGATTCTTCAACAGCCCACAATCTCCTATAAATACCTATGACTACCTAGGGTTTCGTGTGGAAAAGTAGTGGGGAAGTTACTCGGCAGCAGAAGTTAAAATCGGAATTGGGAACAGCGGTTTTTGGAGAAGAAAATTGCGGCGGGTCCTTTTTCGGCAGCAAGGGAAAAAGCAGCAGTTTATTTCGGCAGCAGTTTATTTTTCTTTTTCGGATCTGAGAAGAGGAGAGAGAAAAAGAGGGATTTACAAAAGAGAGGTTTATTTCTTTTGGGTAAAAATCAGATCTTTGAGACGAGCTTGTGGATTGTACAAGTCGTCGGTGTTCTCCTTATAGTGGAATCTCCCCTCACCCCCTCCCGTGGACGTAGGCAAGTTTGCCGAACCACGTAAATCTCGTGTATTTACTGTTTTCTAGGTTGTTGGCTATTGCTTGTAGGATCCCTCAAAATTCGGTCTTGCGCTGATGAGAGGAAGAGTGGATATCTCACTTCGCTGAGATATTTCGCTACTGAGTCTGGGTTTCCTTCGCGAAACACAGATATCGAGGTTGACTTGTGCTTTTGTGACAACAAAAGCCAGGGCTCTCTCTCAGGACATATCGCTTCCGCGGCGGTGGGCGTGACTCTGCGCCCAACAATTGGTATCAGAGCTGTTATTCAGATTGGGAGTGGTGTAGCTTCTGATTTGAGGTGGTGCTCGGTAATTTCCTGAGACAAGCGGAGAATGGCGTCAACAAGTAAAACAGTTAAAGTGGGAAAATACGAGATTGAAAAATTCAATGGGAAGAATGATTTTTCCTATTGGAGGATGCAGATGAAGAACACGTTGATTTCGCAGAAATTGCACAAAGCTTTGGCGGGAAAAGAGAAGAAGCACAAGGATATGTCTGATGAGGATTGGGAGGAGCTGGATCTGGAAGCACGGGCGTCGATTATCCTTTGCCTTGAAAGGGATGTAGCTTTCTTGGTAGATGGAGAGGAAACGGCTGCGGGCGTGTGGTTGAAGTTAGAAAGCACCTTCATGACGAAGAGTCTAACAAACCGGATCTATTTGAAATCCAAATTGTATACTTGCAAGATGGAGGAGGGCTCATCAATCCGGGAATATATCAACAAGTTCGATAGGATTATATCGGATCTGAAGGACATCGATGTGACTGTAGAAGATGAGGATCAGGCTCTTCTATTACTTCTATCTCTGCCGAAGTCTTATGAGAACCTGGTGCAAACATTGATGCTTGTGGGAGACAATTTGACGATGGATGAGACTAGAACGGCGCTTCTAGGGGATGACCTTCGAAAGATTGCAACCGGTGACATGACTACTGGTGGTAACAAAGAACAAGCGCAGGGATTGTTTGCTAGAGGAAGGAGCAATGAGCGAGGAAAAGGCAAGGGAGGAAAGTCTAGATCTAAATCGAGACCTGTGTGGGCGAGGCACAACTCCTGGCTGAGTTGTTTTGCCTTCGTACGTCCTCGGGTATTTTGGCTCTAACTCTCTCGTCCGATCTCGGAATGAGATGATTAAAGATGCGTTAGAAAGCTGATGAAGAGACTTACAACTTTGAATAGCTGAGCCACTTATGGTGTGGGCTTAGAATGGCCGAACCACTCATTGTGTGGGCGAGGCACAACTCCTGGCTGAGTTGTTTTGCCTTCGTACGTCCTCGGGTATTTTGGCTCTAACTCTCTCGTCCGATCTCGGAATGAGATGATTAAAGATGCGTTAGAAAGCTGATGAAGAGACTTACAACTTTGAATAGCTGAGCCACTTATGGTGTGGGTTTAGAATGGCCGAACCACTCATTGTGTGGGCGAGGCACAACTCCTGGCTGAGTTGTTTTGCCTTCGTACGTCCTCGGGTATTTTGGCTCTAACTCTCTCGTCCGATCTCGGAATTAGATGATTCAAGATGCGTTAGAAATCTCACAAAGAGACTTACAACTTTCAATGGCCGAGCCACTCATGGTGTGGGCTTACAATGGCCGAGCCACTCATTGTGTGGGCGAGACACAACTCCTGGCTGAGTTGTTTTGCCTTCGTACGTCCTCGGGTATTTTGGCTCTAACTCTCTCGTCCGATCTCGGAATGAGATGATTCAAGATGCGTTAGAAAGCTGACAAAGATACTTACAACTTTCAATGGCTTAGCCACTCATGGTGTGGGTTTACAATGGCCGAGCCACTCATTGTGTGGGCGAGACACAACTCCTGGCTGAGTTGTTTTGCCTTCGTACGTCCTCGTGTATTTTGGCTCCAACTCGCTCGTCCGATATCGGAATGAGATGATTCAAGATGCGTTAGAAAGCTGACGAAGGGACTTACAACAATGGCCGAGCCACTCATGATGTGGGCTTACAATGGCTGAGCCACTCATTGTGTGGGCGAGACACAACTCCTGGCTGAGTTGTTTTGCCTTCGTACATCCTCGGGTATTTTGGCTCCAACTCTCTCGTCCGATATCGGAATGAGATGATTCAAGATGCGTTAGAAAGCTGACGAAGAGACTTACAACTTTCAATGGCCAAGCCACTCATGGTGTGGGCTTACAATGGCCGAGCCACTCATTGTGTGGGCGAGACACAACTCCTGGCTGAGTTGTTTTGCCTTCGTACGTCCTCGGGTATTTTGGCTCTAACTCTCTCGTCCGATCTCGGAATGAGATGATTCAAGATGCGTTAGAAAGCTCACAAAGAGACTTACAACTTTCAATGGCCACGCCACTCATGGTGTGGGCTTACAATGGCCGACCCACTCATTGTGTGGGCGAGACACAACTCCTGGCTGAGTTGTTTTGCCTTCGTACGTCCTCGGGTATTTTGGCTCTAACTCTCTCGTCCGATCTCGGAATGAGATGATTCAAGATGCGTTAGAAAGCTGACAAAGAGACTTACAACGAGACACAACTCATGGCTGAGTTGTTTTGCCTTCGTACGTCCTCGGGTATTTTGGCTCCAACTCTCTCGTCCGATATCGGAATGAGATGATTCAAGATGCGTTAGAAAGCTGACGAAGAGACATACAACTTTCAATGGCCGAGCCACTCATGGTGTGGGCTTACAATGGCCGAGCCACTCATTGTGTGGGCGAGACACAACTCCTGGCTGAGTTGTTTTGCCTTCGTACGTCCTCGGGTATTTTGGCTCTAACTCTCTCGTCCGATCTCGGAATGAGATGATTCAAGATGCGTTAGAAAGCTGACGAAGAGACTTACAACTTTCAATGGCTTAGCCACTCATGGTGTGGGTTTACAATGGCCGAGCCACTCATTGTGTGGGCGAGACACAACTCCTGGCTGAGTTGTTTTGCCTTCGTACGTCCTCGGGTATTTTGGCTCTAACTCTCTCGTCCGATCTCGGAATGAGATGATTCAAGATGCGTTAGAAAGCTCACAAAGAGACTTACAACTTTCAATGGCCAAGCCACTCATGGTGTAGGCTTACAATGGCCGAGCCACTCATTGTGTGGGCGAGACACAACTCCTGGCTGAGTTGTTTTGCCTTCGTACGTCCTCGGGTATTTTGGCTCTAACTCTCTCGTCCGATCTCGGAATGAGATGATTCAAGATGCGTTAGAAAGCTCACAAAGAGACTTACAACTTTCAATGGCCAAGCCACTCATGGTGTAGGCTTACAATGGCCGAGCCACTCATTGTGTGGGCGAGACACAACTCCTGGCTGAGTTGTTTTGCCTTCGTACGTCCTCGGGTATTTTGGCTCTAACTCTCTCGTCCGATCTCGGAATGAGATGATTCAAGATGCGTTAGAAAGCTGACGAAGAGACTTACAACTTTCAATGGCCGAGACACTAATGGTGTGGGCTTACAATGGCCGAGCCACTCATTGTGTGGGCGAGACACAACTCCTGGCTGAGTTGTTTTGCCTTCGTACGTCCTCGGGTATTTTGGCTCTAACTCTCTCGTCCGATCTCGGAATGAGATGATTCAAGATGCGTTAGAAAGCTCACAAAGAGACTTACAACTTTCAATGGCCAAGCCACTCATGGTGTAGGCTTACAATGGCCGAGCCACTCATTGTGTGGGCGAGACACAACTCCTGGCTGAGTTGTTTTGCCTTCGTACGTCCTCGGGTATTTTGGCTCTAACTCTCTCGTCCGATCTCGGAATGAGATGATTCAAGATGCGTTAGAAAGCTCACAAAGAGACTTACAACTTTCAATGGCCAAGCCACTCATGGTGTAGGCTTACAATGGCCGAGCCACTCATTGTGTGGGCGAGACACAACTCCTGGCTGAGTTGTTTTGCCTTCGTACGTCCTCGGGTATTTTGGCTCTAACTCTCTCGTCCGATCTCGGAATGAGATGATTCAAGATGCGTTAGAAAGCTCACAAAGAGACTTACAACTTTCAATGGCCAAGCCACTCATGGTGTAGGCTTACAATGGCCGAGCCACTCATTGTGTGGGCGAGACACAACTCCTGGCTGAGTTGTTTTGCCTTCGTACGTCCTCGGGTATTTTGGCTCTAACTCTCTCGTCCGATCTCGGAATGAGATGATTCAAGATGCGTTAGAAAGCTCACAAAGAGACTTACAACTTTCAATGGCCAAGCCACTCATGGTGTAGGCTTACAATGGCCGAGCCGCAAGGGAAAAAGCAGCAGTTTATTTCGGCAGCAGTTTATTTTTCTTTTTCGGATCTGAGAAGAGGAGAGAGAAAAAGAGGGATTTACAAAAGAGAGGTTTATTTCTTTTGGGTAAAAATCAGATCTTTGAGACGAGCTTGTGGATTGTACAAGTCGTCGGTGTTCTCCTTATAGTGGAATCTCCCCTCACCCCCTCCCGTGGACGTAGGCAAGTTTGCCGAACCACGTAAATCTCGTGTATTTACTGTTTTCTAGGTTGTTGGCTATTGCTTGTAGGATCCCTCAAAATTCGGTCTTGCGCTGATGAGAGGAAGAGTGGATATCTCACTTCGCTGAGATATTTCGCTACTGAGTCTGGGTTTCCTTCGCGAAACACAGATATCGAGGTTGACTTGTGCTTTTGTGACAACAAAAGCCAGGGCTCTCTCTCAGGACATATCGCTTCCGCGGCGGTGGGCGTGACTCTGCGCCCAACAGAATGATATGTTTGAATGTATATAACATGTATCTAAATTGCCTAATGCTTAAGACATCAGTAGCGTAAAGGTATGATTGTAGCTTCTGTTTCTCTAAATTACAGAATCTCTGCAACAGGAAGGCATGTATCTGTATGCAAGGAGGACAAATTCTTAGAAGACCATCCAGAAGTTCCTCCAGCAAAGAAAGGTACCTTCCTCCAAAAGAAGGGGAAAACAAACTCAGTTTGGCTCAGTTTGTAAACAATATTCAAATATGGTGCGATTATGACAAACACAAAATGATTGAGAATTCTAGCAAAGGTGGCTCCCTGCGCTGTTACGCACATAAATATTGAAAAAAAGTTCCTGATTTTTATAATACATTTATTTAAGCATCATTATACCATACTCAAACAATAAGGATAGAAAAACATTCATTAATTCTGTTTAATTGTGCAATGTTAGGTAACAAATGAACTAAAGACCAATTAAGCTAAATGAATCAAAATAGGAAAAAATACATTCATTAAGACTTTGTCATTACTATACATAACAGTAGTAAGTGGTTGTCTTTTCATATCGATCATACAGGTTGCGGCTTAGACTACACTCCACATCAGAGTAGCAGGGTTCATTTGATGATTCATATCATCCAATTAATTAATTCAATTATTTACATACGGTAATTATTTCAAGTCTTTCCAAGTTCTTACGTCAAATTAGAAACGTCTTTTAAATTATAAAGTGGTTTACTCTATACATGATAGCTCATGACCAATTCATTAATCAACTTGATAGAGAAAAACTACCTAAATAAAGCCCATGGATTTCATTACTCCCCTCATTATAGTTAAGCAACTATTTCTAACTGGCCTATCAGTGTGGAGAAAATGGTATACTAAACACGATATAGTAGCAAATGATACCTCCACACTCGTATTCATCGTATTCATGTAGCTCATCATTTCTATTTCTAATCTTTCACCGTCCTAGATATTACCTTTGTTCCCTTTTTCTTCTTTGCTAGTCCTAATACTGTGACAATAAAACATAAAATAGAATTTCCTTCTATACCTAGGTTATCTATAAGAAGCCACTACCACTGGTCTAGGATAACTAATTCTGAAGCTAGTAAAAAAGGTAAATTAGATTAAAATCCACTACCAATGGTCTAGGATAACTAACTCTGAAGCTACAATCACAAATTTCATTCTACAAGTTGATCTTATAGCCAGAACACATGATAATTGTAGAAATGGGCTGGTTTACGCATTCAGCTTCCACAACTAAAACCAGCTCATGTAGCAGGGAAGTCAAGCAACTCGAGAAACGGAAAAACGATAAAAGAAACAAAACCATAACAAAGGAACATTATATGCTCCAAAAGCAATGGGGCTCTAAGTTCACCGGACGATTGCATCATGAGAATAAATACCAATATATTGACTGTGACATCTTTGCATGTAATCATAAGTCACATGTAAAAATGAAAAGAACGTGTATAACAATAAAAGAGCTGCGTGCTTTCAAATTTGACAAATGGTACAGATTAATAAAAGGTATCCTGCTAGCTACACACATCTCTCCCTTAAGAGACCTTCAAACTTTCAGAGGGCATTTAGATTCTCATTTTCCTCTTTTGGCGATCAACATATCAGTTAATGGAACAGAGGTAAATGAAATAATCGACTACAAACTAAGTGGAACATGATTTCAGATATTTTTTGAAATGCACTGAAATAAGCTTCAAAATTAACAACACAAATAATATGGAGATATCAAGAATTACAAACAAGTTTCTAACCAGCCAAAAGCTCCACCCTCTGCTAGCTCGAGCTACTCCTCCCATTTTTCTTGGCGACAGCCTCAACCCCAGGAGGGTTATAGTAGTCTACATACCATCGAACGAACCTCTTCAACCCCGTCTTAAGATCGGTAGTAGGATGATAATCTAGCTCTCTCTGTGCAAGACTAATATTAGCATGAGTAAACTGCACATCTCCGTTCGCGGGCATTTTCATAACCTTCTTATTAGCCTTCACCTTCAATAACCTCTCAAGAATTGTCACCAAATCCGAAACAGGAACTGGCGAAGTATTCCCGAGATTATAGACCCTAAGCTGAGCTGGCCTCTTCTTCTTCCCCCCAGTGCCAGTACTCTTCTCAGCCGTATCAAGAGCACCGACACAACCCTTCACAATATCATCAATGTAGGTAAAATCCCTAGCCACTGTCTCCCCTTTTGGCCCCTCAAAGATTGTAATAGGGTTTCCTTTGAGGATGTCATTGGTGAAGAAGAAGTAGGCCATGTCGGGCCGACCCCAAGGCCCGTAAACAGTAAAGAACCTCAAGCCGGTGATCGAAAGCCCGTATATATGATTATAAGTGTGAGCAATCTCCTCTCCGGCCTTCTTCGTCGCCGCATACAGCGACGCAGGCCGATCGGTCCGGTGAAACTCCGAGAAGGGCACCTTGGTATTCAGCCCGTAGACCGACGACGACGAAGCCCACACGATGGCGGGCTG